GTATCTTAGAATCCATTTCGAAGCTTGCCAATGCGCCTTTCCAGGGTTATACCTGCTTACAAGGATCACTGCATATGTTATGTTTGGCCTGGTACATAGCGTAACATACATCAAATAACCTATTATGTTAGCATATATTATGTTATTTATATAGGCTCTTTTGAATTTGGTACTAGGATTTTGAGTTATACTCCGCTTGAATTGCTGAGTTGTTAGCGTTATAACATGTTTTGAGTCTGACATACCAAACCTGTCAAAAATCTTTCTTAGATATGACTCTTGAGATAAACATATTTTCGACTGTTTTCCATCTCTCTTGATGTCAATACCTAAAATCTTGGTTGCATCTCCAAGGTTCTTCGTTTCAAATTCCTGATTAAGTTTAGCTTTCACACTCATTACTTCTTCGACGAGGTTGCTTTCTATGAGGATGTCATCTACATAGAGCAATAAGATAACAAGTGAATTTTTAGGTGAGACCTTAAAATAAGCATAATGATCGAAGTTTCTCCTTGTGAAACCTATGTGTGCCATGAACTTGTCGAATCTCCTTCTCCATTTCCTAGGAAATTATTTCAGGTAGTAGTGACAAAACAGATCGTCTGCCCCGTCCCACCTTTAGTCTTCCAAAAAAGGGACGGCGCGAGCAAGTCTGCCAAAAAAGGGATGGCACGAGCAAGTCTGCCAAGTGAAATTGGACTTAAAAATTTAACACGCCCTACCAAGATGATAGGTTGGCGGGCTTGTCCGCCTTTTTTTTTCTTTTTTTCTTTTTTTAAATAGATTAATAAACTTTTTTTTTACATTTTAATTAGATTTTTCACTTATTTTTTAAAACAATTTTTATAAAATATCTTTTTAATAAATTTTACTTAAAAAAATAAAATTTCTTGATAACTATACAATTTAGAAACTCCAATATAATCCAGTGCAGATCTCATTTTTTTCTGAGAATTCAGTGAGGATCTCACTGAAAATGGCTTTTCTGTCACATATATCTTTATTATGCACAATCTACGTTAACCACACATTCATAATTTGTCGCTAACCAAGTCATGTCTTGATATATTTTCATTAGTGATATATTATAAAGAACATCAAGCTGGATTAGAAATTGTTAGAATTGCTGTAAATGAGATAATTATACGTACTTCAAGAAATTACAGTGGTTGTAACCAAGACTAAATATATATATTATTATTATTCTCTGGTGTTTAATTGAGACAATCAGATTCACTCAAATATTTCCTCATTTTCACTTTCTCTATATAATTATATATATTGTGTGTCCGTATATATTATATGTGTGTATCTTTCCGTGTGTAATTGAGAAACGCAGTGACTTGTGATACACCTTATGTGACCTAGTTTTAGGCATTACAACCTATAATCTTTAACTCTCTTAGGATATCCAGAAGGAACATGCATCTTAGAGCTCTAGATTCGACTTTTCTTATTTAATGTGAGCATAGGCTACACAACCAAGTACACTAATTCTGTCGAGATTTAGTGGATTTCCTGACCATACTTCTTCAGGTGTCTTCATCTCTAAGACAGCCGAGAGATGCCTATTTATCAGATATGTTACAGTTATAATAGCCTCATCCCAAAACACCTTCTCTAATCCAGCCTTGACCAACATACATTTGGCCCTTTCTAGAATTGTACGATTGAACCTCTCAGCCAAGCCTTTTTGCTAGGAGTACTTGTTGTAGTATTGTGTCTTGCAATGCCATACATAAAATAATAATTGTCAAAAGCTTCATTACAGAACTCAAGATCATTGGCAGTCCTCAACCTTTTGACCTTCATGTCAGTCTATTTTTTTTACCAGAGTCTTCCAACTTTTGAAATTTTCAAAAATTTCTTCCTTAGTTTTCTGAATGAATATCCATAACTTTCTTGAATAATCATCAACTATGGATAAAAAATATCTTGCACGTGAGTGTGATGGGCTTCTTGCAGCCCCCTAAAGATTAGCATGGACGTAATCAAAAGATGTATGTGTTCTTTGTTTGCATTTATTAAACTTTACTTTGCAAGTTTTACCAAATACACAAGGTTCACAGAACTCCAGCCTTTTGACTTTATCACCACCTAGCAGATTTTATTTTCCCAAATCGACCAGGCCCCTTTCACTGACATGGCCAAGTCTCATGTGCCATAATTCAGTGTTTGACACAGGCTTTGTGAATGCAAAATCTGCTAAACCACTTACAACCTCAACCACAAGGGTATACAAGCTTGCCTCTTTATTCCTTTCAAAACTTCCTTTGATCCCTTTAGGACTCTCAAGATACCCTGCTCTCTTTTGAAGACATATCCTTTCTCGTTGAATTCACCAAAAGAAATCAAACTTCTCGTAAGAAGAGGTACATACCTGATGTCAGTCAACAACTTTATTGACTTATCATGGAGCTTGAATCTCACAGATCCAATTCCTGAAGTTTTGCAGACTTTGTTGTTTCCCAGTAGCACTGATCCACCATCTTGATCACATGATTCCTCAAACACATCTCTGTTTGGAGTCATGTTTCAAGTGCAACATGAATCCTTAATCTATTATTTGCTAGGATTACTGCTCGAAACCACCAGGACATCAAATGATTCATAATCATCTTGAACTATGGTAGCATTGTCATTGTCCTTGCCATCGCCATAACTTTTCAACTAATCTGGAGACACTTTTTTGATACAACCTTACTTCTTACGATGGTGACACCTAATAGTAGGAGTATTACCAGTATAATACTTTTGTAGAGCTTTACCGTTTTTCTTCTCAAACTTATCATATTTCTTCAAGAATTTTTCTTTTATGGACAATTTTCACCAAAAGATTGTGGTTTGTGCTCCTTCATTTTGTTCAAGTCCTTGGAGTACAAGGCCGGTTGAACTTATTTAAAGGTCGTGGACTTTCTTCCATACAAGAGAGTTTCTTTAAAATGAGCGTGAGATATTGGTAACACACACAACAACAACAACAAAAACGCTTGATTTTCATCGTCGATGCTAACATCAATATTCTCTAGATCAAGAATCAGCTTCTTGAACATATTCAGTTGTTCAGTTAAGACTTTGTCTTTTCTCATCTTGAATGAATACAGAGCTTGCTTCAAGTAGAGACGATTACCAACGACTTGGTCATGTACAAACTTTCGAGTTTGTTCACATGCTGGCAACCATTTTCTCCTTCGAGACTTGTCGGAGAACCTTATCAGCAAGGCTCAATATTATGGCATTGTGGGCTTTCTCGATCACCGTGTCTTCCCCTTCTCCGTTAGGGCAACATCCATATTTCAAATCCCTTCAACGCTTCTAACAAACTCTGCTAAATAAGAGGAGCTTGCATATTCAAGCGCCATAATCCAAAATCATACACTCAGGTGAATTTCTCAATTTCATACTTTGTTTATGACATCTTCTCCACGCTTACTGCACCAATTTATTGTGAATAATTGATGTCAAGAATAAAGTGAATCTTTGACAAAGAGAGTTTCGTGATCAACCAAGAAATCTTTCAGCTTAAGAAGGTAGAGAAGAGTGAGGAAGAGGAGAAAGAAACATAGTTGGTTAAAACGGTTATTCAATTCACTTTCTCAATCAGCGTTAAATGATTAAAAATGAAAAATAACAACTAACCTCTCTCCTAACAAGTGAGAGAGCAATCTATTTATAGACTAGTAGCATATGTATCTAATGTATTATGTTAACACAAATATCTGACATGCATATCTACAACATCATAACTACATTGTTGCATGAACAGACTTCGACTACATGTTAATTTAACTTTGTCAAATCTTGAAGTTATCCTAATCAAATTTTGAGTTTGATTCAAATACTAGTTTATGACCGCAAAACTACATGCATTATATCTATGAATAAAATTAGATTAAATAACAAAATTAGTCTAGTGTCTCAACTTAAAGTCACAACTATGTACTAGTTATAATGAAATTATAAAAATTCTCTTGTTGAAGTAGTGGATTTCTACTTGACCTTCAAAATCATCATTGTATTTAAATAGTTTCCAGAGTAGAAATTAATGTTTACTCTAATCGTCATTTTAGATTCTTACTCTAAAAATAAATAGACCAACAGTTAGAGTTTGGTACAATTCTAAACATGCTGCTAAAGTCAAAGAAACAGCTGCTATTAATTAAATGATTTGAATGTGTAATATAATAAAAGTGTGAATGTGAAGAGAAGAAGACAAATAGAAAAAAGCAAAAGGGAATGTGATAAGGTTTTGTAACGCCAAATGTAGTGCATAAATCCATTGCCACCAACTCTGAGCTGTTAGTTGCGTGCCATAAATTACTAATCAAATCAATAATCAATCTCAGTTTCATAAACTCATTGTTTATTTAAGTACAACATCATCATATTCATTCCCTTCTTTATAACAAAAATGATAACTAAAATTATACTTAATTTTATATGTTAACTAGTTTTAAATTAGTACTACACATGCATGCAGTAAACTTTAGCTTCCGACAATAATAACATGTTTCAAAACCAAATTATAACATAAGCCAAAAAAAAAAAAAAAACCAAAGTATAAGAAAAGACACGTCATAACTTTAGTATCTTAATGAAGAAAGAAAAAAAGACAGGCCTACAAGGCTAAGGTAGTGCATGTCATGTGGGCACTGTGATTTTCAACAACAGCATAAACACCACTGGCTTCATATTTATCACACAAAAATAAACAATTATTCATTTTTCAAACAGAATCATTACCGAATAAACAAACACTAACCTCGTAGCCTTTTCCTCTGTCATTCTCATTAATTATTACTATAATTATTCATAAAAGTCTTCACTTTTTTGGCTTTCTTTCTCATTATTACACACACTTGCACTTTCATTATTTTCTACTTTTTTTCACCAAGTTTCAATCTTTGCTACTTTTCAACTATACCCACATGTCTCTTTTCTCAATCACAATGCCTCGTTGATTTGCAGCTCAAGCTCAAAATTCTCAATTTTCATACCAGTTATTGGTATATATGCTGATTTGTTCTATGTGAAATTTTAATCAATGAATTATTTTGTGTTTGGTAATCTACAAAAAAAGCTATGAATTTGCTTCCAGTGATTGTAACTGTAATCCAATTGTTGTTTTTAAGGTTGAAAAGTTGTGTTCTATGACTTGGTTCACCTGTTCTATTTCTAGCACTTTTTTCATAAACTTGATGATTGGTTTGCATGAACACTTAATTGTTTCTATTGAGTTGTTTTTCTGCTAATTTTGTTATACATAGATAAAATTGGTATGCATCTATAAAGGAATCTTGTAATTTATTGATTAAAATTCTCAATTTATCAAACTTGAAGAAAATTGTGCTGGTTTTTTATTTTTGTTTTAGACTATTCAAGTACTGAATAACTTGTGGCATTGTAGAGTGCAAACTACAAAGGGATATTGTTTTACAAAAGTTGGAACCGGCGAAATTCTAATGGAGTGATAGTTGGAAGGTGAAATTGAGGGCATGAGAGTCTTTTGGTAGACTGTATGGGAGGCTTATTGCATTTTTTTGAATTCAATCAAGGGAGGATGGCCAAGAAAGTTCATGCTCACAAGAGACATCATGTTGGTAAGTCTTGTTTTGATATGTTTAAGAAGAAAAATAAAATCTTCACTCATGCTAAGATTGGAAAAAAGTGATTAGTTTGTTACAACTTTATGAGTACATGTTTCTTGTTGTTGTGCTCCGCGCAGACTTCGAAACTCCTCGAAATAGTTTAGATCTGCAAGAAGAAACATCTCAGAAATACGGTCCGCGAGGAGAATTACCTGTAAGTTTAACTTCATGTGTCTTGTTAAGTGTTTGAAAACACCATATTGATTGCAAAAATAGAAAGCATAGTGAAGGTATTATGTTTCTCTACTCGCATTCTTTAATTGAATTGTAATTTGATGTGAATTTTCAGCACCATTATCAAGTAGAAGAAGATTGGTGCGAAAATAACCGTTACTCAAACACCGGTTCGATGAAAAAGTTGATCAGTGAAGAGCTATCAGCGCGAACAAGCACAAGGCAAAATGCACCAAGCATTGTGGCAAGGTTGATGGGGTTAGATATGATGCCGGCAGAGACTAAATCTGCTGCTCCATCAGACAAAAGAATAAGTGAAAATACAGCAAAGAAGTATTCAAACAAGAGAATGAATGGTTCCAACTTTAATTCTTCTAGCCATATTGAATTTGATTCGGTTTACGAAGCCATAGATGACGATGATGATGATGATGATGATGATGGATGGAGCTGGAGTTTTGGAGAACCGAGGCCACGGGAACATCCACAGGAAGAGGAACTTCAGAAATTCAAGAAAGAGTTTGAAGCATATCAAGCTGCAAGGTTTCAAGAATGTTCGAGGTTTGCTGAAATCGGAAGTGTTTCTAGCCGATTGATCTTTCAAGAGAATCTGAACAAGGAAAAGGCTGCACATAATATAAGCATGCAAAGGAAAGTATTTCCTTCAAAGAGCAGAACTCTAAGTAGAGACTTTGAAGAGTCATTAATGATAAAATCTTACAACAGATTAGGGGCATCTTCTTCTCCGACTCGAATAGTTATCTTGAAGCCCGGTCCTGATAGTATATTCAGCCATGAAGAGAATTGGACCAGTGCTTCAGGAGCTTTACCTGGGAGACATAGTGTAGAAGATTTTCTTGAGGAGGTGAAAGAGCGTCTAAAATGCGAACTCCAAGGAAAAAATGTCACAAAAGGAAGTGAAATCGAGACACTGCGCAATATAAAACCCTCTGATCCTAAACTCATTGCTCGTCAAATAGTAAAGCAGGTCAAAGAAAATGTGAATAGAGATTCTGACTCGAATTCAACTAGATCATACAATGGTGAAGTGAAGTGCAATGGACCGAATTATCCGGAATTTATCAGTAGAGATACAAGGAGTTACTTGTCAGACAAGCTAACAAATACTGTAAAAAGTGAAAGACGCGATGATGACATTTATGAAGTGAACTCAAGATCACATGCATTTGACAATCAAAGAGTTAGACTCAAGAAAACAGAAGGTATTTTGCATTGTGCAAATGAATGGGAAATATCAAAAGAGGAAACAGAAATACAAACAGGATCTTTCAGACACGAACCAGACAACGACATTTTGCTCCACAGAGAGTTATTATCTCCAAGGAACCTTGTAAGATCATTGTCAGCTCCTGTATCAAGATCAGGAACATCATTTGGAAAGCTTCTTCTAGAGGACAGACACATTTTAACCGGTGCTCATATTCGGAGAAAGCTCGAAGCTGTTGAAACTATGTCTGTTAATGTTAAAAAACAGAAAAAAGAGAGGTTTAATCATATAAAAGAAAGGGTCTCCAATTTTAGATACAGTTTTGCTCTAAGAGGGAGGCTCTTTGGCAAGAGGAACCAATCAATGGCAGAATCACACGAAAATGAATACCGTCCAGCAATGACAGATATCAGAAGTGGCCCGACCGTGCTTATGAACTGCGGCAGCGAGAGACATGTAAGTTCATCATAGATTTAGCTTTTAACTCTTTTATATTTCATACATAGTTGTTCAAATAAATCATTTGATTTTCTGCATATGCTCTCTAGGAGAACTACACTGAGGTACCTCCTAGTCCTGCATCTGTATGCAGTAGTGTTCATGAAGACTTCTGGAGACGAAGCGAATATTTAAGTCCAATATCAACTCCTGATGTGTCCTCAAGAGATGATACTGTTATGCCTCAAGTTTTCAGAGATATCAGCTCTGGTTTAAATGGTATGTGATACATCTCTAAGTTTCAAGCATTGAGCAATGCAGTGTGAATATCTTTTCGAACTCTTTCTGATAGATCTCTTTGCTTGTTGATTTGACAGAGCTAAGAAGACAACTCAATCAACTTGATTCTGATGATGTTGATGTTGAGGACTTCAGTATGAAACATGAACCTTCTGAGTCTGAATTGATGCAAATAAATGATCCATCAGAATCTTACATAAGAGATTTACTTCTCGCGTCTGGCCTATACTTCGGTTCTTGGGACAAATCTTTGTTAAGAGGGGACACATACGCGAAGCCTATTGGAAATTCAGTTTTCGAAGAAGTTGAAGAATCTCATAAGAATTTAATCAAGGAGAATGATGTGAATTTCACAAAGGATCAAAGCGAGAGTAGCCACAAGATTTTGCTTGATTTGTTAAACGAGGCACTTTCGGATGTTCTTGGACCGCCTTCCACATTGTCTAGATTCAGAAAGAAATTATGCAAGTCTTCCATGTTGTCGCCGCCTCAAGGAAAGGAACTGTTGAAGTTAGTATGGGAAAATATCCGCGTCTCGTTACATCCTTCATCTGATATATCTCATTATTCAGTTGATACTTTGGTTGCTCAACACTTGAGTTCAATTCCTTGGTCTGGAATAATCAATGATGAGATAAATATATTAGGAAGAGAGGTAGAATGTCTTATAACTAAAGATCTTGTTGAAGAACTCACAAAGGATTTGCTTTGAGAAGTAAAGTTTTACATAATAAAGAGTAAGGGTTATATTATACCTGATTGTTACACAAAGTGGAAGATAGAAGCCTAATTGATATAGTTTTGTTGATATGTGTGTATATAAAGTGTTGTGACTTTTTGTGATGTAGGAGACATTTTGAGTGAAGGTAATTCTTAGTCTATATGAGTGAAGTGAATAAGTAGATTATTTTTTCAAAACACCTGATTCATTGATGCTTATTGTTGATGAGTTTTTTTTCTAAGTTATGTAAATGTGTTTAACTAGCTGATTAGAACATGCACAATTAATAAGAACAATAACCGAAGAAAAATAGACAAAATAGTGGTGTAAACATTTATTGTGTGTGGAAAATGAAGCAAAAAACAAATTGCCCTCATGCAGGATCGAACTGCAGACCTCCAGTTTACAAGACTGGCGCTCTACCACTGAGCTATAAGGGCTGATTTGTTAGAGTTTCTTTCTTGTTAGTATTTAATATTGGTCTCTTTATACATCCATCAATTTTCACATGCTCTTCTTTGCTTAACTATCATTAAAATGAACAGTCGTTTTGTTTGTCAATGAAGAAAAATATTGACAGAAATTTTCTAAATTATGTTTCCACAAACAGTTTAATAGAAATTGCTTTTAATATAAAATTAATATTTTTGAAGCATAAATCTCATTAAGTTTTATATATGAAATATTTGCACACCAGTATACTATTATTTAAAGTTTTAATGTAAATACTTACGTCCCATAAAGTTGAAAGTTTTATTTGAAAGATTAGTATCCAACTTATTATAAATTAAAACTTGATGCAATAGTATAAATATAACACGAAGATTACATTTTAAACAAAAAATATTAATATCTAAATTATTACGAAAGAACATTCTAAATAACATTCTAAATAGACATCATAAATCAATATAACTAACTTCAAATAAATGTTATTACTACAAGTTTATAAAATTGCAATAAATAAATGTGATTATTTAGTGACAATGTTTATAATATTAAGGACCTAAGTAGTATTATTTTTTTAAGGGAGTTAGTATGAATTCTTAAGTGGTAGAAACAAATACAAAAAAAGATAATCTAAGATATAAAGATGTATGAAAGTTGTTAATTAGTTCCAGCGACATTACGTGAAAATAAATAAAGATTCTCTCATAAAAAAATAGTGTCCAAAATTTATCATATATTGTTGCTGTTTTATATTTACACTACACCACATTGTTTATTCCACCCAAAAGAATTTTCTTAATTTATTTTTTCCTCCACATTATTTAATTGTTTTATATTTACTATTGATATGTTTCACCCATAATTATAAGTAGTGTATTTGGCACGGATCTATAACTAGTTTTAGATATTAGTGGTGCTTACATATGTTCGTGCTACATCGATAATAAGTCCCAAAGATGTTGTATATTGATTATTGGCTGATAGTGTGTCTGCATTCTAACTCATCCATTATTATTATAACAAAACTTTCACAAATGACATTACTCATTTACACTAATATCTATGTGAGTGTTTCATTATTTACACTCAGATCAAAAAGTCAGATTTCGCAGGAGAGCATTATTTATGTCGAACTGATCTCTCCATAACTAGTCGTAAGTAACAACTTTGGTTTCTTCTGAAGTCTCAACTCCTAGCAGAACTTAAACGCTGTACTGCACGTTCTATACACACTTTACGTCTTTGTAATCCATGCCACTTATTATTACTTGACCCTTCATTCATCAGTCCAAGCCTGGCAATTTGATTATGCAGTGCCTCCAAGTTGACAAGAGGAACAGTGGTTGGTCGTCCATGAGCACACTGCAAGGTCAATCGCTTATTTTGTCATGAAAACTACATTCCAAAATCCATAAACATGAAAAACCTAATTTATCTTACCTGGAAACAGAGTGATGTATGATTTAGCTCTTCCACTAGAAGGGAACATTCTGATGGGAGCAATGAATCCCCAAACATGATTGCACCTTCAGAAAAAAAACGTTTATAAAATTATAAGAAACTGCAATATGTGGATGAACATGTCACCGAAAGATGGGAATTTTGAGGTATGTAATTCAGAAAATAAAAGAATAATTCCGTGCAAGTTCCGAAAATAGGGAGACATTTCACATGATTAATGCAAGTTTGTTTGATTGTTATGTTCAATATGCCTTTGTAGATTATTATGTCCAGAGTGATAGAATATCATAAAGCTAACAGAAAAAAACAGTTATATGAAATCTCAATTGTATTCATTATTTTAGATACAATGATAGCTCTGTTTATATAGAGAGCTCAGCATAACAGAATTCTGTTATGATCTAACAAACTAAGACAGCTCAGCATAACAGAATTCTGTTATGATCTAACAAACTAAGACAGCTCAGCATAACAGAATTCTGTTATGATCTAACAAACTAAGACAGCTCAGCATAACAGAATTCTGTTATGATCTAACAAACTAAGACAGCTCAGCATAACAGAATTCTGTTATGATCTAACAAACTAAGACAGCTCAGCATTACATCTTTCATTCCCCCTTTGAAGCTGGGGGTAGTTCTAGCTTTGAAGCTGGGGGTAGTTCTAGCAGACTATGTTTGTCAAAAACTCTGAGCTTAGAACGAAGGGGCAGAAACTTGTTTGCAGATAGAGGTTTAGTAAGTGCATCAGCCCATTGGTCTTGAGCAGAGACATGAGCCACAACAAGACTCTTGTTGAGGACTTTTTCTCTAACAAAGAAAATGTCCAGCTCCATATGCTTAGTTCTATTATGGAGAACTGGATTGTGAGCAAGAGTTACAGTGCTCAGATTGTCGCATAGAACTTTAGGAGTTAGAAAAGGACAGTGCAACTCCCTGAGCAGAGACTGCACCCATAACAATTCTGCAGCCAGATGTGCCATGCTGCGATACTCTGCTTCAGCACTGGACCTGGCCACTAACTGCTGCTTTTTAGACCACCAAGCTATCAGGTTAGGGCCAAGAAACACACAGGCACCAGAGGTAGATCGCCTGTCATCTGGGTCTGAAGCCCAATCAGCATCACAAAAACCAAGTAATTGCAGAGGCTGCTGAAGAGAGGTTGGTTGAATGAGCAGACCATGATGTTTTGTACCACTTAAATACCTTAATATTCTCTTCACTGCCTTCCAATGTTCTTCCAAAGGATTGGACAGAAATTGACAAACTTTATTGACAGAAAAAGAGATTTCTGGTCTAGTTAGTGTAGCATACTGCAGAGCCCCAACCACTGATCTGAATTGTGTAGGATCATCAACCTCAATAGAACCTATTTTGGATAATTTGCTGCTGGAAACCATGGGTGTGGGCATACCATTTGCACTGGTCATGTTCACCTTGGCTAGTAAATCAGTGATGTATTTGCTTTGAGATAGCAGAAGTGAGCCATTAGGCAAATGTGTGACTTCAATGCCTAGAAAATAGTCTAATTTGCCCAACTGTTTTAGAGAGAAAACCTCATTGAGATGGGCTGTAATGAATGGAGCAGAATTTCCTGTGATGATAATATCATCCACATAAACCAGAATCATTATCTGAAGTTTTCCCTGATGCAAAAAAAATAGACTAGGATCACATTTACTGGCCTGAAAACCTTGCTGAATGAGGGCATTTTTAAGCTTGTCAAACCAGGCCCTTGGGGCCTGTTTTAACCCATAAATTGCCTTATTCAACTTACACACAAGGGACTTATTAGAAGACTCAAATCCAGGTGGCTGCTGCATAAACACTTCCTCCTCAAGAGTGCCATTGAGGAAGGCATTATTCACATCGATTTGCTGGATGGTCCACTTGTGAGTGACTGCAAGTGTCAAAACTGTCCTTACTGTAACAGGTTTTACAACAGGTGAGAAGGTTTCAGAAAAATCACTTCCAGCCTGCTGATGGAAGCCTTTGGCCACCAATCTGGCCTTATATTTGTTAAGAGTACCATCAGAATTCTCTTTTACCCGAAAAACCCATTTGCAGCCGATGGGTTTCCTTGATTCAGATGGTTCCACCAGTGTCCAGGTCTGATTTCTTATCAGTGCCTGATATTCTTCCTTCATTGCCTGGTACCAGTGAGGAACAGCCAAGGCTTGACCAACAGAGGTTGGTTCAAGATGAGTCAGTAACAAGGTAGGGTTTAGTCTAGGTTGTACAATGCCTCTTTTGGCTCTTGTTTGCATTGGGTGAGTGTTAAAAGGATTGATGAAAGGCTGAGAATTAGGAGAGGAAGTGGGACTTACAGATTGAGATATAGCAGGGGAAGAAGATGGGGATATGGTACTTGCTTCTGCTAACTCAGAAGTGATAAGAGCAGGTGCGGATGTAGAGGTGTTGGGAGAACTAGACAGAACAGGGGACTGCTCAGCTGAGTTGGGTGATTCAGGGACATTGTTATGTAAGTTATTGGAGGTAGAATGAATGTGAGTAGAAGAAAGAGGAGTAGCAGAAATGGATGGGTCAGAACTGACTTGCGAAATAGGAGTTGGTGACATGAGAGGCACATTGGAATAAGAAAAAGTGGAAGATTGAGGTGTGGTAGATGAGGAAGGTTTAGAAGATTCAGAAAATAATTTGGAATAAGGGAATATGGACTCTTGGAACAAGACATCCTTAGATATGTAGATGTGACCATTAGGAGCTAGGCACTTGTAGCCTTTATGAGAAGTGGAATACCCTAGAAATATACATTCTTGAGACCGGTAATCAAGTTTGTGAGAGTTGTAAGGGCGGAGAAAAGGAAAACAGGAACATCCAAAAACTCTTAGGCAAGAATAATCAGGTTGCTTGTTGAGAAGTTTGAAATAAGGGGACTGATTATTGAGACTGACACTAGGGAGTCTATTAATTAGATAGGCTGCTGTAACAAAGGAATGGTCCCAAAATTTCAAGGGCAATGTGGATTGTGCAAGTAAGGCTAGACCTGTTTCAACAATATGGCGATGTTTGCGCTCAACTATGCCATTTTGATGGTGGGTATGTGGGCATGTGAATCTGTGGACTATGCCTAAGTCATTGAGATACTTGGTGAATGGCCTAAATTCACCCCCTCCATCACTCTGCACACTTTTGATAGGAAAGTTAAATTGAAGTTCAACCATTTTCTTGAATTAAACAAATTGAGAGAGAGTATCAGACTTAAGTTTAAGAGGGAAGACCCACACAAAGCGAGAGAAGGCATCAACACAAGTTAGGAAATAGCTATAACCTCCTAAGGACAGCATGGGAGCAGGACCCCATAAATCACAAACGACAAGCTCAAAAGGCTGCTTGTAAACAGTGGCAGACAGAGAGGTGGGAAGCCTGTGAGATTTGCCTAAGCAACAAGCTGAACACAGTTCTGCAGGTGGTTTAGAAGGAGCAGAAAATTGACACAGTTTAAACACCTCAGTGAGAGCATGATGATGAGGATGACCTAAACGAGAGTGCCATAAAACATATTTATTTGTTGCTATAGCCAGAGAATTATTCACATGCTGAGATGATAAAGAATTATAAGTAGTAGCATTGAGAGAAGGTAAAGTGGAACAAATGGAATTATCTTTATTCATGAATAGATCAGCAGTACACAGAGAAATACACTTGTATGAATCATTTGTATTGCCTACAGACCTACTTGAAGTACTACTACTACACTGTTTTGAAGTCTCAGCTAGGCAGGAGTTGAGACTTGGTGAGGACTTGAAATTTTGTAAGGCTGGAACAGGAAATTTGTAGAGACCATCTGCGCCCACCAGACCACGAAGTAAAACTTCAGAAGAAGCCTGGGATTTGACAACACAAAATTTTGGGTGAAACTCAAAGAAAACCTTATTGTCCTGAGCAAATTTGCTAACACTCATAAGATTTTTAGTGATGTGAGGCACGAGTAAGAGATTTTGCAAAGTGAGAGACATGTGAGGATGGTTAGGTAAAGGAAAAGGCATAGAACCAATAGAATGAATAGACAAACCTTGGCCGTTTCCCATAAACACTTGCTCAGTTCCAGGCACAAAATTAGATTCAGACACATTTGAGGGATCAGGAGTAACATGATGGGACGCACCGGAATCAGGATACCACCATTGATTACTGAAGCCAACATCAGTGCCTGCATAGAAAGCCTGTGGAGAAGATGCACGAGAGGAAGCAGCTCTTGGAACACCATAGCTAAAGGGAGGTTGGTACATAGGTCGTGATGGCATCATGAAAGGATTGTAGGGAGCTCTCTGAGACTGATACATTCCAGCAGCAGAATTTGAGTAACGATAATAGCAGATGGACGCATCGTGTCCAGATTTGTGACAAATCTGACACAGAGTTTTGCCAAAACGGCCACCTCCACGGCCAAAACGACCGCCTCCACGATTTGAACGGCCACCACGTGCACCATAGCCATGATTCTCAGCATTGGCAGTAACATGACTTGTTCCCTGTGGAAAAGCCTCAGTACCAGCACTGGAATGATCTGACGTAGCCGGCGATGACGGTGTCAACGCCTGAGTCAAATTGACCGTCACTGGCTCAGTGAGAACTGCTTTGCGATGCTTATCCAGACGCGATTCATGTGCCAGCAGCGACGACTCAAGTTCATCGAGTGAACCGACTTCTTTGTTGTTGACGGCGGCGACAATGGAGTCGTATTCCTCAGGAAGAGAATCGAGCACAATTTCAATTAGGTTTCGAAGAGGAACGGGATCGCCGATCGAAACCAGTGATTCACTGATTTCGCGAACACGAATCATCAATTCAGCAATCGTAAGAGTGCCTTTCGTAAGGCGGCGTAATTCTGAGCGCAGTTGACGAGCTTTGGTGGATAGGAGTGTACCAAAGTACCGATGAACCTCCGTCCAGACTTGCCATGCATGTCTACAGTCAACGAGTTTGGGAAGAATGGAATCGGAGATGGTGGATAACAACCAAGTGCATATGAGCGCATCTTGTTGTTCCCACTCGCAATACGCAGAATTCGCACCGTGAGGTGACGAATCAGTACCAGACGATGGCGGCGGTGGAATCACCGGTACAGTAACAAATCGTTGTAACCGATGGCCACGAACAACACCATCGATTTGTTGCTTCCACTGCTTGAAATTCTTATCATCAAGCTTGACAGAGATAAGATGTGACAACTTCACTTGCGAAGAGGGAAATAGGGAATCCATGGAGAACCACTACTGGATCGAAAAGAATGCTCTAGATACCATAATAGAATATCATAAAGCTAACAGAAAAAAACAGTTATATCAAATCTCAATTGTATTCATTATTTTAGATACAATGATAGCTCTGTTTATATAGAGAGCTCAGCATAACAGAATTCTGTTATGATCTAACAAACTAAGACAGCTCAGCATAACAGAATTCTGTTATGATCTAACAAACTAAGACAACTCAGCATAACAGAATTCTGTTATGATCTAACAAACTAAGACAACTCAGCATAACAGAATTCTGTTATGATCTAACAAACTAAGACAGCTCAGCATAACAGAATTCTGTTATGATCTAACAAACTAAGACAGCTCAGCATTACATCTTTCACAGAGCACTCTAGCTTCATTGAAAAAAAGATCCTCGTTTACATGTAAGAGCAAGGCTTTCCAAACTCCTGGGCGTAAGTGGTTGTAGCTAGTAAGATTAGGCATGTACCTCTGCACGCTTTTGAATTTAGGAGTCGTACAACGGAGGGTGGCATTGTTGATGATCCATCAGTATCAGCAAGCTGAAGGTAAATATAACTTCCAAGTTAAAAGCACTAAAGTTGTCCATTTGTTAAACAATGATAACTTGAGGTAGGAAGAAGGCTTTAAACAAGATTTTTGTAACCTGCTGAAGAAACTCTAATAGATCAACATCGTTTAAATTGACACCTAAAATAGATGGTACCTACAAGTAAATGATTAACATCGGTCATATGAAAAGCAAAAGAAAGTCCATATAATATAAAAGAAAGTAAAAAGATATAGTGCTGACCGCAACAAGGGTGATGGTCATTTGTTGTCTGTTGAGAATATCCAAATTCCTGCAAAGATAATCAGAATCTTGATTCATTACAGAGATGATCAAAGCCTCTGCAATACTGGAACAATGGTTATCTTATAACTATTTCAAACTCCACAAGACAGAATGAGGTATACCTTCTAAAGGATTCAGAATTTTGAGTATGAATCTTACAGATCCAGCCCCAATCTTTTATTTGTTCACCGTAACTATTAAGTAATTGATAACCCATCTCTGGCAGCACCTGCATGAAGCATCTTTCTAAATATTTAAGAAAGTCAAAGCTCAAAAAACATGTCACGCTTGACACTTACATAAAATCCTTTAATACATGATTGCATATATGTGATGCATATTAATAGAGAGCATTGAGAGAATAGACATTTTCAGTTGCAACTGATTCTCGTTGATGTGAAAGTTAGTTACAAAAGAGAGATGGTTTGTATTTATAGTTGCAAACAGTTTATCTGCTATAGCAGGTCTTCCTGTTACATACTGACAGTTGTCAGTGGCATTAAGGAGCTGAGATAACTAATAACTGTCAGTTAATTATTAGTAGGCAACAATACATGGTTTAATAGTCTAGCTGAAATATATCTCTAATACATACCAGCTCCTGTTCAGCGTCTAGATAGGTTATTGCTTTTGCTTCTCCAGATAATACCTAAATATTCAACTAGTTTGGTGAGTCATACTGGAGAAATATTGATGCGCTATTAAATGCAAACAGTTTACCTTTTGACGTAAGTCTTCCAGTCTGATTCTTTCGTCTGCAGCATGCTGTGAAAAAAAAAACTACGGTCACAATGTTACACATCCAACTTCCTTGAAGGGGGGTTCTCAGTTTTCATGGGTCAGGAATATACAAACGTATATGTGTGTAAGCACTTGGCAAGCATTTCTGAATGTTCTTAAAGCGTCTATGCCATGCCGGGAAGTCAAGGAGGTGAGGAAGAAGAGACAGCCCAATGGGTCTGTATGATAAAGGCAAGTGGTGTTGGGGGAAAAATGTTGTGGGTGACTTGGGTAGAGTACATTATGTACATTATGTCTGCTCAAAAGGAGAGCTGAGATAAAAGAAATTGTGGGTTGTGCTTTGAGTCACAGTTCAAGTTGAATTGTACTAGACAGATGCAACAAAAAGACTAACCAGGAGCTACATGGGTCATTCAGAAGGTTAACTTGTAAATACTCGTTATGCTATAATGATGTGTCATAGTGAATATCCTCCAATCCTATGCATGTCAACTAGGAGAGAAATTTAACCATAATGCAATAACGTTAAACGACAGACCTGATCAATAATGGCAAGGGTTCTGCCACCCATGATTGGAATGAATTTCTTATCGACCTGATGGAGAACTTTGGCATCCTCAAGGCATTTCTTACTTATAGTTTCAGGTATTAGAGAATTTCCGGCAAGATGCAAGAATCCAGAAGAGATGTCAAGTATATTGTTCTGATTTCCAATATCAATTAGTTTATCGTTCTTCTGCACAATGATTGCAATCCTAGTCAGATCATAAAATCTCCAACATAATAATGAACGTCTCCTATGTAATGTATTATGTCTCTTAAAGATTGACAAAATTACTGGAGTTTGGGGTGAGCGGCTCCTCCATTTGGTCCCATAATCTATGGGGTCTTGTACTTCCCTAGATATCAATTCTGAAATACAAGATAACATGGGTTTGACAGCAAATTACCAAGTGAATGAATGATTAGACAAATAATTTAAGTGTTCATTTACTAATCATATAAACATGGGGAAAAAATTACAACCATAATCCATTTAGATTGACAGTAAACTTCTTCAGCACAAAAGATAATAGAAAATGCAAAACTTCCACAATTTCTGGTCTGTGTTTATGGAAGATTGTGTAACAGAGAAATCCCCAGTTTTACACAGTAATTCGTAGTAAAGAAACTTCTTATTTAAGAAATAGTAAATAGTTTCTCAAGATAATATCTAAAGATAAGACATGATCCCTTTCAACTCACTCCTCATTCAAGGCTGGGCAATATTTGACATGGTTCTATGGCAAAACTATTTCAAATGAGCAGATGTTATTTGACAAGACTTATGAGACAAGATTTGCTAACACATTAAACTCACCCCTGAATGGATCATTCTGTTGAACATTGAAATTTTCAAAACCATCAGTCTTGGCAATGTCATCAATCTGTGGAGCCCCCGGAACCTCTGAACTCCGTTTCACATTAGATCTATAATCAGGGAAAAACGACAAAGGGTCAGTGAGAAATTATTCTCAACAGTTTAGCAGCTTAAGAAGGGTCAATAAGATAATATACAGTACTTAAATTCTTGCAATAGATCTTCTTTGCTGGGGTGAAAAGCAGAAGGATGTTGAGAATACTTAAAATCACTGGCTTCTGCAGATTCAAAAGCATTAGTCCAATTTGATTTATTAAATATGTTGTTACATTAGAAAGAAAAAAAAGAGCAAAGGATGTTAATTAAAGTAAGAAAATGAAAAACCTAGAAGACTGGTAGTAGGGTGGGATGCTTGGCCGGTAGATCTTTTAGCTACCATTTCTGGAAGCTGATTTAAAGAGAAAAACCTCCTTTTACTTCTATGAAATGGTGGAGCTGAGAAGCTTCTTTTAGATCTTACACGAGTCTTCTCCAAAGCTGGATGCCTAAAACGGTCCCTTTTGCCTTCATTAATATTGGGTCTCGTACAGTTTCCAACATATGACCCAGATAACAGCAAGTCGGTTTCCTCATCTAAAATACCCGGCCTTTTTGGGAAATATGAATCAACGAAATCAGGCCAGTCAACCAACCTGTGGAAAATTTCGTTAAAATCAACAGCGCCATCAAAACTAAATCCACTATTTGCAAAACTTGAGGTGCAAGGTTGCCGGTTAGCATGCCTTGACATATCATAACTGAAGTTGTACCCTTTTTCTTCATCATCAAAAACACGTGTATGATGGATCCTTTTGCAGTATTTAGATGCTCCCTCAAGATTGTAACTGAAGTAGTTCTCAATTTCTTCGTCATAAATTTTGTGTGTATGGTGAGTCCTTTCATAGCATCTAGATGCTCTTTGAAGATCGTTAATATCATTGGTATGATAAACACACAATGCAGTAGCCTTAGGTGAGGGACTTTGATAAACAGGATGCCTTTCAAAGTTTGGTAACTGATCATCAGAACTAGAGTTTCCTATTTGTGTTGCTGAATACCATGAATCTGAAGGTCGACAATTTTCTTCATACTGTGCTCTTAAAAGAAAATCAGAATCTTCAGACATCTTCAATTTTTTTGCAACTTCTACACAGGGAAGGGCATTTAAATCCTTACCAATGAAACAATCCCCCCCTAGATTTTGCTTGCTCCAAAAGCTAAAAGTTTGGAGTTCAGGTTCATTATTTACGAGCAAAGCCTTCTCATGCAGAATATTTCCTTTTTGTGTAGAGCAGCTTTTTAGAAAAGGCTTTTGAAAATCCCCATCAATCTCTACATCATAACCAAACCCATAGGAGTCATAAATGGAATCACCTTCAAATGATTCACATAGCACACTAGTATCTACTTTATTTAATTTTCTTCCATGTGAAGAACTTGTTGCATATAAAGGTATACTACTATCATATAAATTTTCTACAGCAGGACTCATACCATCTGAAAAATAAACTCCTTGCAACAAATCATTGTCATCATACGCCCAAAAATTGCTGTTCTTTTTCTTAGTGGTGGGCATGCTTTTGGCGTATGAAACGTCGAGTAAATTTCCAGAATACCCGGTCCGACAATGAAGCCCTCCCGTGTTTTGTTTATCTTTGAACATCTCAGTCCCTCGATGTAAGTAACCAATGTTAGTTCTAATATCCTCCCTGTTGCATTGATGATTGTCATCTTCAGTTAGCTTGTCTGAAGTGGAAAAGAAGAGGTCTAAACAACCCTTACGATTTTGGTTTCCAAATTTTGATATATCTGCATTGAAGATATTTGACAACAATCTTTAAATGTTAAGAGAAACCAAACCAGCCTATTTAGCATTTATGCAATTATTGTTCAAGTAATATTTTCCTACAATAAGTATGTTACTTGATCAGAATTTATCAGACTTAATTAGTGTAAAGGAAGGAAATTACTTGATTGCCAAATTAGAATATTACCTGCTTCCACTGAAATGGTGTTGACATCTGGATCTACTTTTTTCCGTTGATCTTTTTGAACAGTATAAGTGGCTTTATTGGTGGAATCTCCTGCAAGGATCTCAAAGATTACTAAAAGCATAAAAACCGGCAATTCATTGTGTTATATATATATCGTCAATAAGATGCAGTGAGAGGGTATACCATAAGCTATGCTTCCCTCCCAAAAATGTTTGATGACCTTTTCAATGAAGTTTAGTATTGGAGACCAATCCTTTAAAAGTGGGGAAAAAGAAAACAATCAAATTTGTGTAGGATGCAGGCTGTGATAAAATAACTTATACTGAAACTATAGCATGGGGAAGAAGCTTTGAATCTCTGCTAACTGTTCTTTGTTGGAGTTTATTTACACCACCCAGAGTACATGAAGTATTATATAAGCTAGAAACTAAACTAGAACACCAAGATCCAAACACTTACCCACTAAATGAGGTCGCCTACATTGATCAGTTGATACCATAAAATCTTGACATGTATTTGGTCCAAAGATGGACTATTTATCTCCAATATTCTCTTAATGGTTTGACATATAGTCTTCTTTGATCTCTCTCTCCTTCTAACAATTGAACTATCTTCTATCTTTTCCACTTTCTTTGCCAACACTTCTTCTTTACACACGCTTAAACCACCTAAGACGAGATTCTATCATCTTTTCTACAATGGGAGCTATCCTAGTTTTCACTCTAATGATTGTTTTTCTAATTCTATTTTGTCTTGTTCAAAGCACTCATCCATGTAATATTTGTTGGAAATAAGACCTTATATGTTCAGGAGAAGTGTGTGGAAATATTGAAGGTTTGAATATAAATTTGATAAGTAGGATAATTCTTTATGGAGGAGAAGAACTTTGTATTTTTGCTTGATACAAATGTGTGGGATTACATCTCTATTTATAGTACTCTAAGGAGAACTCTAGACACACTAATTCTAGAGAGTTCTCAACTCTAGAGATCCAAAGACTATTTTAGAAAATATTACAATTATAAGAAATATCTAGAGATTCAAAATATTACAAGAATTCTCTAGAAAACTACTTAAGCCCAAAAACCAATTAATAAATTTAGGCCCAAATCAAGTTTAATATTTTCAACATCCTCCCTTAAACTTGATTTGTGACTCCAAGCATACTCTTTAGCTTCACGAAAGTTTCCAACTTTAGTGGCTTGGTGAAAATGTCGGCAGCTTGATCTTGAGACATTACATACTTCAACTTCACCTCTTTTTTCTCAATGCATTCTCTTATAAAGTGGTAACGGGTGTCTATGTGCTTACTTCTTTCATGAAAGACTGGATTCTTTCCCAAAGCAATTGCTGATTTATTATCAAAACATATTTTCATTGGATCTTCTTGTGGCATTTTTAACTCTTTCAACAAGTTTCTTAGTCAAATTGCATGACAAACGCATGATGTGGCGGCGACATACTCGGCTTCACAAGTTGATAGTGTGACTATTGGTTGCTTCTTTGACATCCAAGTGAAAGCAGTATCTCCCATAAAGAACACATAACCAGTAGTGCTCTTCCTATCATCCAAGTCTCCACTCCAATCGCTATCACTATAGCCAACAATCTCATAATTATTAGAAGAGTAATAGTGCAAGCCAAAGTTAGTTGTACCTTTAATGTATCTAAGGATTCTCTTTGCCGCCTTGAAGTGAGTTGTTGTTGGAGCTTCCATGTATCGGCTTACAACTCCTACAGCATAGAGAATATTTGGCCTTGTACTTGTTAAGTAACGTAGACTTCCAACCAAACTTTTGTAAAGAGTTGGATCCATATTCTCCCCGTTTTCATGCTTGCTTAACTTGCTACCACATTCCATCGGGGTGCCAACTGGATTGGCATTATTCATCTTGAACTTCTTAATGACTTCTTTGGCATAGCCTTCTTGGGTGATGAAAATTCCTTTGTCTTCTTGCTTTACTTCGATGCCAAGATAATATGCCATGAACCCCATATCTGTCATCTCAAATTCATTTGACATGTCTTTCTTGAACTCTTCGAACATGCTTGGATTGTTCCCTGTGAAAATCAAGTCATCTACATACAAGCACACAATTAAAATATCTCCACTTTGCACTTTGATATAGAGTGCATGCTCATATGGGCACTTGATGAAGTTCTTGTCTTGAAAGTACTTGTCGATTCGAACATTCCAAGCTCTCGGTGCTTGCTTGAGACCGTACAATGCCTTCTTCAACTTCAAGACTTTTTCTTCTTGCCCTTTTACTTCATAGCCTAGTGGTTGCTCGATATAAACTTCTTCGAGAAAACCATTCAGGAAGACTGATTTCACATCCATTTGATAGATCTTCCATTCATTTTGGGTTGCCAAGGAAATGATCAGTCTAATAGTTTCAAGACGAGCAACAGGAGCAAATACCTCATCATAGTCAATTCCTTGTCTGTGACTATAGCCTTTCGCCACCAATCTTTCTTTGCATCTCTCCACATCTCCTTTTGCATTTTTCTTTGTCTTGTACACCCATCTTACTCCAATTGCTTTATGTCCTTGTGGAAGTGTAGTAAGTTCCCATGTATCATTCTTCGTGATAGACTTGATTTCTTCGTCCATGGCTTCTCTCCACTTTATGTTTTCTACCGCTTCTTGATAGCTTAGAGGCTCACAATCACCAAAAAGACAAAAGAGGTTAATGTTGTTTTGATTTTCGGTTACCTCATAAAGCTCTTCAATGCTCCTTAGTCGTGGTGTCTTCTCACTTGAACTTGTTTCATCCAACCTTGGTGTCGGTGAGGAAGGTGGTGTAATATGTTCCTCTATCATTGGTTGTTCCATTTCTTCTTCTTCTTCTTCTTCTTCTTCAAAGTAAGGAAGAAAATCATACTTGTCTTCTTGAGCACTCAAATCCCAATAATCTTTTTCGTCAAACTCCACATCACGACTTATGATGATCTTTCCACTATTTGGGTTATAAAGCTTGTATCCTTTAGAGCTTGAGTCATAACCCACAAACACATACTTCTCACTTTTATCATCGAGCTTTGTTCTTCTTTCATCTGAAACATGGGTATAGACAATGCTTCCAAATACTTTGAGGTGAGAGATCCCAGGTTTCCTTCCACTCCATGCTTCTTGGGGAGTCTTTTCATGCACGCTTCTTGTTGGGGAACGATTTGTCAAGTAAACTGCACATGCCACTGCTTCGGCCCAAAACTCCTTCGGCATCTTCTTGCTCTTGAGCATGCTTCGTACCATGTTAAGTATAGTCCGATTCTTTCTCTCTGCTATTCCATTTTGTTGAGGCGATCTTGGCACAGTCAGTGGGTGACGGATTCCATGGTCTTGACAATATTTGTTGAACTCATTTGAAGTGAACTCTCTTCCTCGGTCAGATCTCATGGCCTTGATGGAAAGACCACTTTCTTTCTCCACAAGGGCTTTGAACTTCTTAAAGTTGTCAAATACTTCTGACTTCTCCTTCAAGAAATAAACCCATATTTTTCTGGAATAATCATCAATAAAGAGGAGAAAGTATTTATTCTTACCAAACGAGTTGGGTTTGATTGGTCCACAGACATCCGTGTGTATGAGCTCTAGTGGCTTTGTCGCTCTTGACGTTGATTCCTTTGGAAAAAAATTTCGGAATTGCTTCCCAATTAGACATCCTTCACAGAGTTGGTCTGGGTGGTTGATGCTAGGCAAGCCTCTCACCATCTCTTTCTTCGACAAACGTTCTAAGCTATCGAAGTTGAGGTGCCCGAATCGTAGATGCCATAGCCATGAAGAATCGGTATAGCAAGCTTTGAGACACTTTGCTACGTCATTTTAAATGTTCAAGAGGAACATTCTATTTTTTGACATAGGCACCTTATCAATCAAGTTATGACTACAATCTCTTAAGAAAAGACTATGTTCTTTTAAGTGGATGTCATAGCCTTTCTCTAATAATTGTCCCAAACTCAAAATATTATTCTTCATGTTAGGCACATAATAGACATTGGATATGAATTGATGACTCCCATTCTTCAAGCGTATGAGAACTTTACCTTTGCTTTTGACTGGCATCTTTGAGTCATCTCCAAATGATACATCACCAGTTGCCGCTTCATTGATCTCTAAGAACATGCTTCGATCGCCACACATGTGGTTGCTTGCGCCAGTGACCAAGTACCACTTATTTCTTTTCTCTTCAACTTCGTTTTGACACGTGAGTAGCAAAGTTTCCTCTTTTCCACCTTTTTCTTCTACAAAATTAGCTTTTTGTTCCACCTTCTTCGAGAATCTACACTCGGTTGCGTAATGACCAATCTTGTTGCAGTTGAAACATTTGACTTGTGATTTATTGCTCCTCGACCATGTGGTTCCTCTTCCACGACCTCTTGTTGCTTGTGGATTTCAACTTCTTTCTCCATTGTTGAAGTTGTTGGAGTAGTTATTGCAACCGCCTCTTCCTTCTCCTCCATGTCCACGTCCACGATATTGGCCACGACCTCGTCCTCTTTGGCTCTTGTAATTCGCATAGTTTACTTCCTTTATGTTGAATTGTAGTAATTGCTCCATAGCCTCCTTTTGTTTAATTTTTCTCTTTTGTTTTTCTTTGTATGCTTGTAAGGAACTCATGAGTTGCTCAATAGTCATGGTCTTTAGATCCTTATTTTCTTCAATGTTGGTAACAATGAAGTCAAAACTTGGATTTAAAGTGCGAAGTATTTTCTCCATGACTTTCACATCATCAACATCTTCACCATTTCTCTTAAGTTGATTGACTACAGCCAATACTCGAGAAAAATAATCTGAAATTGACTCGGACTCCTCCATAAATAAACGTTCAAAGTCACCTCTAAGAGTTTGAAGGCGAATCTTTTTTACTTGCTCAACTCCTTTGTTGCAAGTTTGAAGCTTGTCTCATGCTTCTTTGGCCGTTGTTGCGTTGAATATCTTCTCAAACGTATCTTCATCCACCGACTGATAAATGAGAAAGAGAGCTTTCTTGTCTCTCTTTCTTGACTCCTTCAATGTCTCTCTTACACCTCGGCCTAGCGAGGATTCATCTTGATCCTTGAAGTCTTTCTCAACAATATCCCACACATCTTGAGCTCCTAGTAGCGCCTTCATCTTGATACTCCAATTATCATAGTTGTTCTTTGTGAGCATCGGCATTTGGAAAGGAAAACCACCATTCGTCATTTTGTGGATCTTGAAGCTCTGATACCACTTTGTTGGAAATAAGACCTTTCATGTTCAGGAGAAGTGTGTGGGAATATTGAAGGTTTGAATATAAATTTGATAAGTAGGATAATTCTTTATGGAGGAGAAGAACTTTGTATTTTTGCTTGATACAAATGTGTGGGATTACATCTCTATTTATAGTACTCTAAGGAGAACTCTAGACACACTAATTTTAGAGAGTTCTCAAATCTAGAGATCCAAAAACTATTCTAAAAAATATTACAATTATAAGAAATATCTAAAGATTCCAAATATTACAAGAATTCTCTAGAAAACTACTTAAGCCCAAAATAACTAAGCCCAAAAACCAATTAATAAATTTAGGCCCAAATCAAGTTTAATATTTTCAACAATATTCTCATATTTGTGATACTAAGTATTGTTCTCTCCTTTTTTTTATTCCTTACTATTCAACTTTCAATTCCATAAGACATTACAGGTCTTATTCCTGTAGTAGAGTTTTCCTTTTTGTATGTGTTATTTATCTATTATAGATCATGGCCAAGGCATTCTCTATTCTTAGAATTTGGATCGGACCTAACTCAATCTTACAGAAGGGAAAGAGGGCGAGCCGATCTATGATCTGGGAAAATACGGTGGAGAACTGCCTATGGGTAGTGACAGGCTGTGGCTAGGATGTTGTGTTAAACAAAGGGAAAACAACTGCAGTGAAGGCAACGGCCAGAATGAGGTGTTTATGGTTTCAGAAATTAAGAAAAAGAACAGAACCAGAATGAAGGCAGCTAGGGTCTTTAAGCAGAAACGAGACGCTCAAGAACGAGAGCTTGTAGTATCATGTGAAAACTGAATAATATATTTTCAGTATGAATAATGTACAAGGACTAATCTTTTCATATAGACTATTCTAACCTAATGGGCATGACTAATGGACTAAAGGTACGGACTCAAATTACTACCAACACACAATAGTAAAAATAAATTATTTACGACATCTATTTAATCTACTTGAATCCTATGGCTGACACTTCCTTCATCTCACCATCCCTTTGTACAATGGATTATGGGATGCTCTCCATGTTTTACCTCTACAAGTATTTATGTCTCTCTTGCTAAATTTGTATTCCATATACTTTGTTTTATACTTCTATTTCTTAGAAAGAAATCATGTGTTTCCATGTCTCTAACTTCTCAATAATTTTTTCTCTTGATTTTCCAACAAAGACAATATCGCAAAAATATGTACCAGAATACTATCTCATGCACAAATGGAATCGAGATAGGGACTCAAAGTTGACCTTTGGCACTTATAGTTACGAGAAAATCTTTTTCACTATTAAATGTCACAACTAATAGGGACTCAAAGTTGATGTTCATGTCACTAGTTGTGTACCATACAAAATCATTTATGGATATTATGCAAACAATTATACAGCACAAACTCAGAATTACTAATGACTAATAAGATAATACTGGAGTAGTTGAGAGAAAAACCAGGAGACTACCTTGAATTCAACATAAGTTTTTGATGGCTCAAAGCTCAAAACATATAAAGACCGGGGGCACCTTAAATTCAAGATATATGCCGGACATGGCTGCGATCTGTCTCTCTTTTTGTTTTTGCATTCATTATCAGCACTCCACGAGTTACGATGCTCAAATCTAATAGCCAGTTGACTTAAAAGCTTATGAATAGGTCCCTTGCAAACGAACTGTGAGTTAATATCTAACCATGTTAAGTCAACAAACAAATGTTTATGAAATTTGGTTCTTTTCCGAACCTCAACCCATCCACTTTGTACTATTATTACAATTACAATATCTAAACCTGTATGGTCACATGGATACAGAGATACTGTAAGGCCTGCAAAGAAAATATGGTAACACACCAAAAGTTAGGGGATGAGACGGAAAAATCATCCCCGGAGTTACAATGAGATGAGGTAGATGATTGACGTTTTGCATTAGAAATATAAATCACCTTCATATCAAGGGTATTGCAAGGATCCGATATGAATCCAGTAAGCTTTATGATATTGTTTTCAACTTCTAAATCATGAAGAGAGTTTGTGACCTCCACCCCGAAGCCAGTGGTTACAAGTGACAGTGGAGAAGCAGCAGAATGTGAGCAGAAAAGCTCATCCTCTCTGCATATAGGGTATAAAAAGTGTGACAAAAAATTAAAAAGATACAACTTGAAAATGTTCAGAGAAGATACCTTTCAATATCAACAACTTTGAAGGAAATTTTTGGGCACACAAGTGCAAGCCGCATTACACATTTCTTGATTGACTGGAGTACCTTATTGGGGCTTCCAATTCAAAGACGAAACTCATCAGTCAATCCAAATTTTCATATGAGACATAGTTTCCATAAAAGAAAACTACGACCACAGAAAACATATCACTTGTAAGGTGGACAAGAGAAAAGCAACCTGGATTCAATGTGCTTCCTCCGAACTGGTTGGTTGTAAAATATTTCACAAACAATGACTGAAAGACATAAGGCCTTAATTAGTACTCTCTCTGTTTCAAAATGACTGTCGTTTAAGGTTTTTATACACAGATTAAGAAATGTACTAATTTTGTCATAAGACATTACACTTTTACAAAATTAACCTTATTAATGTATTGGGAGTAGTGTCAAAAGTAAAAAGTAAAGGGCACAATTGGAAAAATAGTAATCATTATTATATAGAAAAGTGAAAATGACAGTCATTTTGAAACAAATTTTATTTACCAAAACGACAGTCATTTTGAAACGGAGGGAGTAATTAATTAATTGTATTAAGTAAACCAGATAAAAGTAGTCATCATTAAAGAAAGGATTTTCTATTCTCATAAATACAATGAATGGAACATGTATCGCAGATTTCCCTGTGTGGAAGAGATATTATGAGAGAAAATAATGTAACTGAAAGCCAAAGTGAAGATTAATTATCAAGTGCGGGATGATCTAGAAATCAATAAATTGAAAGTCAAAAGTTCAAAGACATAAAATAACGAGATTCTAAATGAAAGAGCCACAAAACAAAGAAAAACAATCTTGATATCCTAAATAGCTCAAATTGAAAATCAACAGACTTTAAGGGGAGATTAATGATTTTGTAGGATTTCCATGACTCTAGAGTAGCGTTTGGCATGCGAACAAAACATAACTCTTTCATTCCACCTTTTCAGTGGAACCAAAAGGCATCACTTGTCCTACATTACATTCTATTCCCCTTTTATTATGCACCAAATATGAAACAGACTCCTTTCTATTCCCCTTTTATTATGCAACAAATATGAAACAGACTCCACATATTATTCTATGCCCTAGTTTAATCTATCTGCCAAGCACTACCTAAATCTCATGCAACATGTAGATTTAGGAAAAATGAATATCGTCTATGCATTAATAGGTGTGATCCTTAGTCATACAAAGAAATAAAAACTATGCAACTGTCAGACAAATCAAACTTTATCACCTGTTGTGCCTACTTCCTTTCTATCATCATCAATACCAAGGTATAAACACTTGCACCCCTGCAGTCAATAAAATATCAAACCTTGAATTAATAGCAGCTATAATATGATTAGTTGACAAAAATAAAACATTGGATGTTATCCCTACCTTTAATACTTTTTTATAACCATTTGGCCTTCCATAAGCTCTTGTCACTATTTCCAACAAAGATACTTCCGAAATGGAAGCTAAAGCTTCACCGCGAAAACCAAAGTTTTCACTTGTAGTATTTAGATCAGCCAAATTAAGAAATTTTGATGTTGCTGCATAACAAATATGCATTCACGGTATTATTAAAGGAAGCAAGGAAAATTTATTCATGGAAGATAAACAAACACCTAAAAGAAACCCACTCAATGTTATTTTACATGTCATGTTTTAAACATAGCAACAGACCATATCCACCCAGTTACCTTTACTAACAACTCCCTCTGTTCCTTATTGTAAGACCCCTTACAAATTTTACAAGTATTAAAAAAAGTTGTTGCAATAAATTTGTAAATTGTGTTAATTTCACATAACTATTCCTTCAATTATAAATTTAATAGGGGTATTGTTGAAAAGATACCATTAGTGCATGTGAAAGTTTGTAGAGGATCTTATAAAAACGGACTTCGAATATGGAAAGTGAATTTTATAATGAGAGGCGGAGGGAGTAACAATCAGAGTCCAGGGACAGCAGAATATGTTGATGCACAGACACATTTATAACACTAACCGTGAAGAGCAGATGCAAATATGACCAGAAAGCAGTTAAAATCAATCAAATATCAAATAATCACATATAACCACAAAAGAAAGTTGATCGCGTGACAGGGGATAGGCAAAATCACTTAGCGTGTGCTTGGAAACACAGTAGCAAGTCATCCCCCACGTGGTAAGCCATCACTTGCTGGTAGGCATAGCTTCAAGACAACACATGACTCCAAAGTGGAAAATAAAGTTTCCAAATACATGCTTAGTCGTCTAGCTCACCGCATAAAGACAACTTTATCTAGTAACTATGGCCCACAAGTAAGTAGAAAAATATTTAAAAACAATATGTAAATGTCTTTTGGGGGCCTTTTAGGCCCTATTTGCGAGTTTGGAGATGAGGAAATTTGGGAGGAGGAGGAGAGTAGATTAAAAAATAGAGAAATCTTCACATAGTTTGAGAGGATGCTTTTGTGAAGAATGATAAATGAATGCTTATCACTAATCTATTTTTAATTATGAGAGTATTATATCATAGATTGAATTTGAAGAATTTATCCAAACCCTCTTTAGCCATCAATTCAGTACAATTTTTGTGTTTTCTCATTTTAGGGGAGAACTTTGTATTATGAAGAAAAACAAATCCCCCTATTCAAGTTACTGAATTATCCTTTCTTCCATTTCGTTTTTCTCCTCCAAAAAGTCCTCCCTTCTCGTACCCTCTAACTCTCAAACTCGCAAAGAGAGTCTTACTCACCACATATCTTCCACCAAACATTTTTTAAGAAAACAAAAAAACTAATGTCAGCTTGAGACTGCTGCATTCAGAAAACACCTCAAGAAAAGGAACACGCGGACACATCAAAATGATGACATATTCACATAAATAAACCAACAAGTCCACAACATCGAAGATAAAGATAAAAAAATGAAGATGTACACATAACACACCATATCTTTCTCCCACCAATTCCAGTCCATCTCGAGTAATTCCATCTCCTACAAACCCATTCATTGAATGATAAAGATAGACGAAAAGCTAAAGTTAGCCACATTTATTAGCATGCAAATAAAAAACAAAAACTTCTAAAATGAAACAAAAATTACCGTCATCAACTACTTTTAAGAAGCAGTTCCCAACGTTAACAAACACCGATACCTAAAACAAAAACAGCACACAGTTCATGGTATAGCTATAATCACTTTTCAGTTCTCTATCTATAACCGACTACGATTGCAAAAATATTGAAAGCAGAGATGTATAATAGAGTACAAAAAATACCTTTGTAGCACGAGCATCGAGGCTATTGAAAACAAGTTCCTCAACGATTCTTGTGAAATCGAACAAGGAAATGCCGGAACGAATTGAGCTACGAACAGATTCCGGTAATGGTCTTATCGTCGCCATCAAGCTTCTCTGCCAGAATTGCGACGAATGTGAACCGCGTGATACTCAAATGAAGGATCCTAGGGTTTCTGATTAAACGTCGACGTTTAATCTGGGAATAGCTCTCTCAGTCACTCACAGAGCTATATTTCTTTGTTTTCGAAGCTACGCGAATATTGGCGGTTTGATTTCAAACTGAAACTTGCAATCAACGTGTGTCGGTTAAGTGGTTAACCGTTTATTAATTTATTTGAGAGTTTTTTTAATTTAATTTTCAGAAATTAATAATTCTTTTTTTTTGTCTTATATATATATATATATATACCAAGTCTCTGTAGTTCTGATGTCTAATGTCTCTGCATAATTATCAATCGAATCTTTGCGCAACTATCAACCAAGTCTAATGTACAATTTAATATCTCTGCATAACTATCAACTGAGTCTAATGTCTCTGCACAGCTATCAACTGAGTCTAATGTTATATAATGTTTCTGTATAACTATCAATCGAGTCTCTCCACAACTATCAACCAAGTCTACAATTTAATATCTCTGCACAGCTATCAACTGAGTCTAATGTCTCTGCACAGTTATCAACTGAGTCTAATGTTTCTACACAATGTATTGTCTTTGCACAGCTACCACAATATCAATTGAGTCTAATGTATTGTCTTTGCACAGCTACCACAATATCAATTGAGTCTAATGTATTGTCTCTGCATAGCTATCAACTGGGTTGAGTATAATTTCTTTGATCAGCACGAGTTCCATTTTATATGTATAGTTAACACTAGAGTTATATTTTCTAGGATAAATTTAAATCATCTATTGTAGTGCTTGATTAAATATTGCTCAATCTTATTTTCAGTAAGATTAGACTTGGATGAATGTTATAGCTTACAACATGTGAATAATATACACACAAATTCAAATTCTGTTGTCAGATATCTCTGCATGAACAAAATTCTGTACTAATTTACATTTCTGTAGTTAAGAATCCAATGGAAAGAATCTCATTAAAATCGAATAAACCAAAAAGAAAATGCAATCAGTACTATAGTCATTCATGTTAAAGTTGTGTGATTAAGATTGGATGATTCACATCTGACTTTTGTTTTGATCCTCCAAAATGTTTGATTGTGGTAACTGCCCTGTCATGAACATGCTTTCCACCTTCACTTTCCTACCTTGATTTGTAGGTTGCTCATACCAACATTAACCTTTTCGACAGTAGATTCGCTTCTCGTTTCATTTGGTGATGACTCCTTGCAGTTCAGCCAGGGGTGTTGCAGGCACTGTTGTGCAGTTGGTCGTTTTTCTGGTGCGAAATCAAAAAGTGGCGAAAGAAATTCTGAAAACTCACGTGCGTCATTCGCTGAAAATTTATATCTATTAATTAGTAATTTGTCAAGTGGCCAATATTTTAGCCTTCGAATCCTTTTTAGATCACCGTGCCTGTCAAAGTAGTCCTTGGATTGAGCTCCAGCAATAGCAATCTGCAATCAACGAGCATTTGATATGCCAGAGTATTAGTTCAAGAAATAAAATGGATTTGAATTCGGTGCAGATATACATCGCACTGCTTTTAATCTCGGTCTTACGATCTCAAATTAACAGCCGATATCATTTCAAGCTAATTTTGTTATTGTGTAATCTAACCGCCTAATCTCGGACTACAACAACTACTACTACGCCTTATCCCACTAAGTGAGGTCGGCTACATGAATCAACTTTCGCCGTAATATTCTATCAAAGACCATGCTAATCTCAGACTAACGGTTGATATTGTTTAATACGTGAAATTACTATTATAGGTGATCTCGGTCCAAATAAAACAAGCTGAAAGTGGGAGTGTAACTCACCTTCCGCGGCATCTTTCCTAGGAGTTCCATCATCAGGGCAAGATGATCCTGCACAATGGTCATTTTTATTATTCCAGTAACAAATAGTCCAAGTGTTTTAACAAGTTCAGGATGTGCGTTCTACTAATTACATCAATGATCAAGGAAAAAACCTACAGTTAACAGTTCATGGTAGTGGTAGAACATTTAAAAATTAAGCCATAATAGTTTATTAGCGAAATCATCATACCTCATCCTCGCTATAATCCTTTCCACCTTTGGGTGTAAATAACATATCTCCTGTGGCAAGCTCAAAAGCAATGCAAGCAAAAGACCACATGTCAACAGGGAAGGAATAACCGGACTTCAGTATAACTTCAGGGGCTCTATACTGCCTTGTTTGTATTTCTTCTGCAAACTTCTTATCATCCCAACACGCATTTCCAAAATCGACAATCTTGCATCTCACATCAATCCCATCAATATTTCTACGAGATTTTCCAGCTTCTCCTCTTCCTTCAATCGAAGCTGTTCTTCCTGATATTTTAGCAACTGCACTCCTTGCTCTTCTCTTCAACCTTTTCTCAATAAGACTAGTAAGTCCACCGTTCGTGTTTCCCTCCGGCCGTTCTAAAATTGGGGAGCAACCAGAACTAAAAGGATCTTTGGCAGGGTCAATAGTTGAAAATAGAAGAATGTTTTCAGGTTTTAAGTCAGTGTGGATTATACCGAGTTCACTATGCAAGTAATCCAAACCAGTCAAAATGCATTTACATATCTCTCTAACTTTATTCAGTGGAAGACCTTTGTAACGGTTATATCTGATCAAACGAAGCAAGCTATCGCCGAGAAACTCAAGGACCATGCAATGGTGTTGTCCATTGGGACCTGTGTGCTTAAAGTGATCAATCAATTGGATAACAAACTTTGAATTTGATGGGTCACCGTCAGCAATGCATGAAAGAACATCGACCTCGTGGAGAGCAGCCTGAACAAAGTCGGCCGCACTTTTCTGGATTTTGAGAGCAACATATGACTGAAAACCAAAATCTTAAAATTAGAAAAAGATACAAAATGTTGGACAAAAATAATCATACATTAGCAAGATCTTCCAATAACTCATGTCATTTATGGTATCAAAACTCTTATTAACGAAAAAAAACGATTTTCGACGGTAAAGGCCTAGCTCCTAAATCTTAACACAGAGAGAGAGAGAGAGAGAGAAAAGAAAAAAAAACTACAGAATCAGAGTTTAACTTGAGAACAACAATTATTCACATTCCATATACTTCCAACAAACATAAATAGTAAATGTACATGTGTTAGATTAGATATTAAAGACAAAGAGTATAGTTAATCGCAGTTACCGAGGAGGATCATAATACACTAAAAACAAGCACAAAATATGAACTAGTTGAAAAATGAATGAACATTTATTGCTCCCCCCAGCATAAAGACAAAAAAAAACGCAAAAGGTGACATTTTTGTGTGAGGACCATTCACCCATTTTGAGCCATACCAATTCCAACAAAAAAGGAAAATTGGGAATTTGTAACTGTAACACACATTGAACAAAATAAAAATCAAAATAATCTAACTCAGATCCATTCAATTCAATAACAGAAAATAGCATTAAATATAGAAACTTTGAAATCAAAAAAATGAATCACGTGAGAAAATGATTAAAAAGAAAAAGAAAGAAGAAGAACATACAGAGGTGATAGTATCATAAGCAAGCCAAACGGTGGAGAATTGACCCCAACCAAGCTTCCTCTGAGCTATATACCTACCCACCGCAAAACGATCGGCGACTCTAACGGCATGGTAACCACCTTTCCGATAAGACTCAAACCCTTCATTATCATCATCCGATCCCGATGAAGACGAACACGACATGGCCCTTTACTTTCTCTGATCAGATTCACCAACAAAACAAAAGACCCAGATAGAAAAATCAAATCTTTTTGATTTTAGAGAATTAGCAATGAAATGGGCGTTTTTATTTATTTAGTTTGTGGTGTAGGTAGGTTTTGGAAATGTATCACGTATGAAACACTCTCTTTTCCACTTTTTTCTCTAATAATTTGGGTCTTTCATTTTTTTTTTATTATTACCTTTTCTTCTTCTACCTTTGGCTGCTTACAGTCCAAATTGACCATTTTAATTAAGTTTCAATGATAAATAGTCAAAACTTTTTAATTTGACATGATCTATGTAAAGTTATTACTACTACTATTTTTTCTCATTAATTTAATTTAATTTAATTTAATCAACTAACATTTATAACTTTACCAACATTTTGTTGAATGGAAATTGACTCAGATTTTTAATTAACTGGTTTAAGTCTTATAGATTGAATAAAATGTACAAATTGAGAATCAGAGACTTTATTTAAAGTCTTTTAAAAATTCTGTTTGTTATAGATATTTTGATAAAAAACAATATATTTAACAAAAAATTATAAAATTTAATTAAAATTAATATATATTATTTCAAATTTATTTCTTATGAATTAAAAGAGTAACTTAAATATTTAAATATTTTTTTTAAAATTAACATAAGTTTTACAACTTCATAAAAATAATTTTTATTAAAAATAATTTTTACGAGAAGTCACCCGAAATCATTAAGAATATAACACAAAATAATTCTTGTAAGTAGGTGTGACATATTTATGCTATCAAGAAGGTGAAATTCTTTCTTTGAGCAATTTTATATGTCTCTTCCTATGAGATCTGCCGTATATGTAATTAGGACGATGAGACAACTCTACATTGACTAAGAGACGAGACTGAATTTGCTATTCACTCTTAGAAATCTATTGGCGTCTTGGATCCATTATTGTTCCAGTAAGATATTTTATATGATTGGCTTAGACATGACATTGATGATGACTCTATCTTTTTATCTGCTTGCTAATGATTCTGGCGCTCTAGGAACAAATTATGTCATATGAATAAAGTAGTATCTTCTCATACTTTTAAACTCATCACAAGGAACTAATATGTTAGCTAAATGTTTTCTCAAGTATAATTTGTCTCATCTAACAAGAACGATCACGTGGATTGTACATAAATATAGTAAATATGATTTTGAATTAGAGATGTCAACGAGTAGGGTCAGGTGCGAGTTTTACACTACCCAAAACCGCACCTGAAATCACCACCCGAACTCAAATCCA